CTTCTCTAGACGGGTGGAATTGACAACAGTTCTTAGCTTTTCGGAACAGATCAATTTCGAGTGCTATTCACTAGGTTGTAGTAGCCCTGCTGATCGGTGATGGCCATCGCCTCAACCTCAGCATAGCCAAACGTTCAAACTATGCCACACTTCAAGCCGGGACGCGGGCAGGTTAGGGGTAGCCTTCCCCTTATCCCCTCTTACGAAAGCCAGAACGAACTGTCACAGTTTTGACCAAAAGATGAATGATCTGCTAGTTCTAGGAGCAACTGTAATGTGTGAGTTTCTTCTGAAAATATTTTCTTAGTGTTTGGCTAGAATTCTCCCTACTGACATCTTCTCGTCATTTGCTTGCATTTTTTCTTACAGATTGCTTTCATTTCTTCTTAATGGCTACTTGCTCTGCATTGTTTGCTTACAGACCTGTCAAACTGTGGCAGTACGGCCAAAACACAGCGATCTCAGTTTCTTAAAATAGACGTGAAGCACGCATTGCTTCCAGACCCTGTTCGCGTCTTTTCGTGAGTTACTGTTTTGGCATCTACTGTATTGTGACAGCGACTAACAATTTTGCCCAGCTTTCCACAACATAATTGTTGAAGGCGAAAACAGCACAGAATAGTAGGTTTATCTTGCTTTGTGTAATTATTTACCGTACTATTACCGATACAAGCGAAGATGCGAGTTCCAGGAACTATTTGATCAGAAGAAGAAGAAGAAGAAGAAGAAGAAGAAGAAGAAGAAGAAGAAGCGATCGCTGGAACAAGGTCTTTATTCGCCTGACGTTTCGGATTCTCACTTGAATCCATCATCAGAGACAATAGCAGAAAAGGGTGACCCGTGCACAGAAAGTTGCAGTATTTATAGGATGCAGTCGTTATGCTACCGCATACCTATAGCAATTAACCGCGCTCCCCTTCATGAAGGATCGTTGCCCGCTGGTGCGCTAATTGCTTACTGGCCGGCATGCAAGTTGTTAATTACCGAAATGTCATCACCCGTGTTGGATGCTGGCGTGATGATTGCCCGGCCGTACGATGCTCGACTGCATGCGATAAGCGTGGGGATCGATAATCTTGACCGGCACACAAGCGCATGACAACTGCATGCTTCGACACCTGGCCAGTCGAGCCGTAATGCACTCGGGAGCTGCTAACTGCGATATACATGCAGCGGGCTAGCAATTACATTCTATAAATAGTGCAACACCTGGGCAATTTACCACCCCTATCTGGCTTTGTCTCTGATTATGGATTCGAGTGAGAATCCGAAACGTCAAACTAATAAAGTTCTTGTTCCAGCAATCGTGTCTCCTTCTTCGCGATTAGCAGTAACGTTAAGAGTAGATGTTCCACCATCAATCACGGTGTTCTTTGATTGTTTCACGACCGTTTGTCAAAGTAGGGTCAGCCAGTTAAATTTTCATCTGATCCAAATGCTCTGGAGGGGGGGCTAATCGACGGGACATTCTACGCGCGAGTCTCTTCTGTCCCCATGCCCGGAAAGCAATTGCCCTCCCTCGTTTCCCCTCTCCCCCCGCACACCCTCCATAACAGTGTCGAGTAAGTTACGCTAGGGTCTATGCCCATGTCAAGCAAGCGCCTCACCCTCACTGCTGTGATTAAGATCTTTTTCGATCCCATTCTTTTCGGCCACCAGCTTGCTACTGACGACAATGAACATTGTACCACAAGACTCATACCGCATATAATACGTAGACAACTCATTAAAAGTGCAACAGGCCCGACTCATACGGCTGTTTCACGGTCGGTATCGGCCATCACATGTCACAACGTTCATTGTCGCCAGCAGCAAGATGACGAGCGGAAAGGATGGGATTGAGCAAGATCTTAACCACAAAAGTGAGGAGCACAAGCTTACCTGACATGTTTTTGTACCTCAATTCAAAAGGCCTATGACGTACTGACTGTCGGTAAGGGTTGTGAAACGGCTGTCTGCGTCCAGCCTGCTGCACTCCTAATGAATGTATGCCTCGCTGACTGCCGAATAATCTACCGTGCTTACATGTGCAAGACCGAGTTTTTATGCCACAAGGGACCTACCCCGTCTGGGATGTAATAATAATAACTGTATTAGTATATATATTTTTGGAGGGTTAGAGGCAGAGCCCTTGATGACTCTATTTATGTACAGTGCTTTCGCAGATTCGTACTCAAAAATAAAATTGCAGGCATTTACAATGTGCTCGAGTCACAGTTCAATCGTAATCATAAGTTAGTGCATAAGGTCACTGTAAATAATTGCGGAGGGTTTTTAAAAAAATGGCTGTGCATAGTCATGCTGTATAAGCCGACTTCTGCCGAAAACTAAACGAGCAAGATTTCCTTTAAACACACAAATTGTGCCGGTCGTCACCATCTCGCTTGGAAGCGAGTTCCACGGTCGGACGACCCACTGGCTGAATGGAAATTTTCGACGATCTAAGCGCGTGCGCTCATTCACGGCCTTGTAGGTATGGCCGCGTAGTTGGTTTGTACGAGCAAACTCAAAGAAGTCCTCTGCTCTTTATGAGCAACCCTGTCCGCAGACAATCCGGAACCTCCAAAGTAGACTGCAGTTTATTTGTCTATAAGAAAGGGGGAATAAGCCAAGCAAATTCAGCCTCTCCTGATAAGACAAATGCCTTAGACCGTCGACCATCTTTGTCGCTCTGCGTTGCGCCTGTTCGAGTAAGTTGATATCCTTCCTCGTCCATGGTGAAGCTACTGGCATTCCATACTCCAGATGAGGTTTTACAAAGACACCAAAGAGTCTTTCAAAGAGTTCGGGAGGAAATATTTTAAATGCACGTCTGATCCAGTGTAGAGTACTAGTTGCCTTCTGGACCATCTTTCTGCAGTGTTCTGATGGCGATAGATTGGTGGTCGTCCATACACCCAGATCTCTGTGTCTTTCCACAGTTTCTAACCTCGTCGCGTCAATATAGTACTGGTGTTTTGGGAGAGGCATTGCGGCCGGTGTTCAGGTGCAAAACAGCGCATTTGGACACGTTAAACTTCAAAAGCCATCTGTTCGACCAAGCACTCAGTTTGTCGATTTTCGACTGCAACTTCTCTGCGTCATCATCACACTTGACTTCACTCCATATTTTTATGTCATCCGCGAACATGAGGGCCTCGCAATTCACTTTGCTGATGCTGTCAATAACATAAATCAGGAAGAGTACTGGGCATAAGACAGAATCCTATGGGACACCACTTTCAAACTTTGCCCACTTCCACCGCTGTCCCAAACTTTCTTAAAAACAGACTTAAAAAGCTACAGAAGCAGCCTAAAGATCCTTCTGTGAGCTCATTATCAGTTCATCCAAGAATCGTCAAAATGAGGCTCGCGCGAGATAGGCGTAGAGAGTCTTTAGCTATTAATAACGTGAATGCTTCTAAATCAGTTGCACAGATCTTCCGTCAAAGATCATCAGCTAAGTCCCACCAAGTCATTCCGCCTTTGCTTATTATCAACGATACCTTCATTACAGAGGATTCAGGCAAAGTAGAAATGTTAAATTCTTTTTTTGCCAAACATTTCACCATCGAAACTGACCCAATCCCTTTAATTCCTCCGTTGTCTGATGCATCTCTCTGCATCATTACTATTTCTCCTGAAACTATTCAAAACTGATAATCTATCTTCCTAACTCTCACGCAGTAAGTACGGACAATATCCCAAACTCTCTTATAAAACACCTACGAGATTTTCCTCCTCTGCTTAGCAACATCTTTTCTGTATTTCTCCTAAATGGCTTCTTTCCTGACTATTGGAAAACTTCTATTATTATTATTATTATTCCAGTATTTAAGTCTGGCTGTCGTTCTGAAGTTCAGAACTATCGAGGTGTCCATAAAACGCCTTCTCTCGCTAAAACCTTTGAAAAATATCGCCTTAAAAATTACCGAATTTTGCATAGCCAATAAAGTTATTAGCTCTTCCCAGCATGGTTTTTTACCAGATCACTCTTGCGAAACATATCATTTATCGTTTCTCAATCTACTTACCTCTCTTCGTAATGACCATATATCTGTTGTCGTTATTAATTTTGACCTTAATAAAGCCTTTCAATTAAATTAAATTCAATTATTTTTATTAAAGACCCGTCGGGGTCCCATCAAAGCAAGTAAAAATAAATTTACAGGCGAATTTTAGACGAGGTAGGCAAAATCTGTACAAAGTGCAATACATAGTTTTTGAGATTAGAAGTCCGTTAAGCAAAATGAAATAGTACCATATAAAAGACTCTTGGTTAAATTAGAAGCTATGAAAATTCGCAGTCCACTAATAGACTTTATCAAGTCATAGAATAGAAAAGAATAGAATAGGTTTATTGTAACGCCCCTTGGGCACTGTCAGTCCCCTTTGAACTCAGGAAAAAAACCTAAAACAAACTCGTCAATTTCAACTGCACTTTGACTTCATTTGCTTCGGGTGTCTGGTTAGCCAAAAGAGCGCGAATTGAGAGTTTGTTTTAAGTTGAAAAACCTCAGTTCTAAGGGAAACTAATAACAAAAGTTTCAAAAAATAACGATATGTACAATATAAAAATTGAAGTTTGCAGTTTGGTAGTTTTCGGGGGCATGAATAATATGTCCTTCGTGGCAATTAAAGAACTTTGATATCGGCCTGACCTTGAAATTATTTTCCTGTTGGGTAAATTTCGGTTTGCTCTAGTTGTTGTGTAGCAGGCAGACCGGAACGATTGTTTGAATAGATAAGGGCGCGAGTTTTGAGAGTTAGGGTGCCTAGCGTCTGAACGCTATCTGTTCGTCTTCTTCTGTCCCTTTCAGTTGAAGTGCGCGAAGACGGTGATTCCCCCTCCCCGGTGGCAGCATCCAACTCCACCTTCCCCGGACAATAGTGAAGACTACGTTGGTTTGGACTTTCCGATCCTTCTTGTCTATCCCTCATCTACGTTCCCTCTTTTTGCGTTCCCAATAAACCTTGGCATACTACGTGACTTGTTGCGTGTTTGAAGACTGTTATTGATGATGCCGGATCGGAAGTGTGATCCTAATGATGCACAAACTGGACAGAGTATTGCGGTTCCCGACGTCCCATCCCAGACTACCCAAATAGACGCAGGCGGACCCTCGGACATCGAACCCCTCGCGAGGTCGGACGCTACAATGGTGGCAGCGAAAGAGCCGAACCCGCAGCCAAGAACCAGTACAACGAATCCTATTCCATCTTCTTTCAAACCCTACGATGGGAGTAAGGATTTTTCGTGCTGGCTGCGCCGACTTAAGTTCCACCTGGACGACGTGCCACAAGACGAACGTAGCCGTACGGTTCTTCAACACCTTGCCGACGACCAGATGGACAAAGCACTCGACGCCGGCCTCACTCGCTACACCCCCTTCCAAGTGCTGTGCGACCAGTTGCAGAGGCTGTTCCAACCTCCCTTGACCATAGAGGAGGCTATCGACCAGTTGCTGAAACGCTCCTTAAGGAGCGATGAGACTCCTCGGCAGTTCGCCGACGCCTTACTGCAGCTGACACGCGATGCTTATCCCTCTCTTTCTGCGGCCGATAGAGACCAAGTGGTCCTTTTTCACTTCAAACGCGGTCTCGGGTCCCCAGAAGTGACGTATTCCCTGAGGATCCAGCCACCGGGCGACCTCAATGAAGCAATCCAGCGAGCATCCCGCATGCTGACAACCGACTCCCCATCAGAGGCTAATCACGCCCGGACTGAACCGTGGAAACACAACCCAGACCGCAGGCAGCAGAGCAGCACCTGGACCAGACCACACTACCCGCCGTCACAACGCTTCAACCGCGGCAGCCGACCCCCTATGTTCCGCACGCCCTATCGACCCCCACCGCCCAACACCGAGCCAAGACAAGGCCGGGGGATTCGCGACAGTACAGCGGCGGCGATTACTAAGGAAGGTAACCATATAATTCCCGTCTGCTTTGATTATACGTCACATAATTTGCCGTTTTACACGACACTCTACCTAGACAACAAACCCGTCAAGGCACTAGTCGACACAGGGACCACCACATCATTAGTTCGGGCAGAGGTATTAGACGCTAAGTGGCTTAACCTCGCCAGACAAAGCGGCCACTCACCTCATCTCAAAACCGCAGACGGGTCACCCATGACCACGTTAGGGTCGGTTCGACTGCCCATCTCATTCCCGGCCAGCGTTAAGGAACAAACTTTCGTCGTCACTCACAAGTTGTCGTGGGACATGATACTCGGGCTAGATTTCCTTTCTGCACATAACTGCTGTATCATGGTCAAAGATCGCATACTTTCCTTAGGGCATAGGTCAGAGCCTAACAACCCGCCAGGCACCGAGTTTGACGAGGAAGCCACCTGCGCGGCCATCGCAGCATCAGTTGCCTTACCACCCACAAGCGTAGACACGGTCTTACCCCCAGACGATACAGTCGCCCTCACAGACAGGGAAGAATTAAGGTCACTCCTGACTGCGTTAAGCGATGTCTTCGCACGGGACGATACCTCCTTAGGTCGCACAGCTGTCATCCGTCACAGCATTGACACAGGAACGTCGAAGCCGCTGTGGCAACCACCACGCCGTATTCCACCACACTCTCAGAAAAAGGTGAATGACCTAATTCAAACGATGCTGACCACAGGGATAATCCGCCCCTCCAGATCCCCATGGGCATCGTCAGTGACATTAGTGCCAAAAAAGACGGCAGACTCCGATTTTGTATAGACTATCGGCGACTTAATGCGGTCACCACCCGCGATTCTTTTCCACTGCCAAGAATTGATGTCACACTTGAAGCGCTGGCCGGAGCCCAATGGTTC